TACTGTCAATAGGTATTTTGTGTGTGAATGCAGACATTCTCCTGCTATGAGATACATGTATGCAAGGCCATCTGCTGATATTAGAGTTGATATATGGAAACGCTAGCAACTTAGTTAGCACAGTTAGCACTGTGTCAATGGCTTAGCAGTCCCACACAGTTTACACATTTAAACAGTCTTGTTTGATAAATACACAAATAACAATGCAAACTTACAGGTTGTGTACCCGAATCTTCCCCTGCTCCAAACAGTCCAAACAAACTAGGAATAGCATCGTCCTTCAGTTTCAAATGCTGTGCATATCCGGCCTCAAACTGGGCAATGTTTTGGAAGCTTTCGTCTGTGAAATGCCGGTTCTTCGAACCTCTGAAGGAACAGTGTTAAAAAGAAATTTCAACCACTGACTTCGTCGTGGTTCTTCCGTCGGTAGGACAGCTCAGATTTCTCCTCACATTTCAGGAAACAGGTCCTTGGCAGTGGCATGACTGGATCGATTGTGAACTGAACCAGAGCTTCCAACAGTAAATGTTAGGCTGGCAGAGGATGCGGCCAGCGCCGCTGGGTGTGGCCATAGCTCTTCGGGATTGGTCCATTTCGTTCCGGGTACCGCATGACATCATGCCGTACCCGGAACTAAATGGAAGACTCAAATGGGCAGTGACGTATCTCCAACGAGGTGTTTTGGGGAGGTATTTTCTGTGTTAGAGTTTTACTCGCTACAGGGTGTACTTTGAGGGTTTTGACTCTGCACACCGTTTACATGCATAAAAACCTTCATAACACACAAGGGGACGGGTAATAACCGGAAAAGCATGACATGGGAGCTTTAAGTACATTTCAAAGCCCATACTTCTTTACTTTTACTTGAGTAAAGAAGTTTAGTCAGTACTTCTACTTTTACCAGAGTATTTTTGAACACGAGTATCTGTACTTCTACTTGAGTAAAGGATGTGTGTACTTTTGCCATCTCTGGTCTTTCCAAAAATGTAGATGTACTGAAGTGGAATCTTGGATCCTAATGATTCAGTTTAATCTTTTCCAGGTGTCCCACTGACCTTGACCATGTGTCAGTGATTGAGAACGGTCAGTCTCTCCGTGCCCGTTTCTCTGCCCTGCTCTTCCCTCTCCACGGTGGAAATCCATACGTCTTCCTTCACTGCACCCTACGTCTGTCTGACAAGAGGACCCAAAACTGTGTTCCCGTCAGTCAGAGTCTAACTCAATCCAAATATTTAATCAGTAATCCATGCTTAATTGACCCTATGTAGCCCCAAACCTTTTCCCACTTTCGGTTCAAACGCATATGTGAAGGTTCTTTTGGTTTAGCACCAGCAGCATTGTAAATAATGATTTATATTTGGGATCATTTACAACTACACTGCAGATATTGAATTGTTTTAAGTACCACACCAGTTCTCTGTTAGTGGCTGCCAGGATGACATATTTCAAATGGCCCGAAATGTCAGATGAGCAAAGTTTTATTAACTCTATAGTCTCTCTTTGTGTAGATGGCAATGCTAGGATAACCTACAAAAGTACTGAACCCATCGACATATCCGACTCCATACTAAAGCTCATGTTAACAGTTTATAATAACTCTCAATGCCAGAAGTGCTATAGTGAACTTTAGCTAACATTAGCTATCTATCTAACAAGTTGGCTAGTGAACAATAGTCTCTTGCTATCAAACTAGCTTGCTAATGTAAGCTATATATCTAACAAGTTGGCTAGCGAAAGTTAGCTATGTACTTTACAAGTAAGCTAGCGTTCGTTATCTAACTAGTTAGCTAAAATAATGTAAGCTGACCGGCAGCAGCTTCACACAGCTCCAAAGATTGTCTTAAATTCCCAAATATGGATAATTTGGATAAACTAATCTCATAGTGGTAATCTAAATGGTTATCTCTTCACCTGAAAAAGCTTAAAAACTGTTTCTTTGGCAAGTAAAGGTTGATAAAGCTGGCAACACTATGCAAAGTAATTGCACTTACGCTAACCAGAAGTACCAACACAAAGTATGGCCATGCAACCCAGTCTCACACCATTTCGTGTTATAGTCACGAAATAAATGTAATCTATTGATTCGTATTCACCAACACGATTTCCCTCTTTTTTTCGTGTCAAACAGAACGATTTTAAAAGCAATGCATTTCTATTGGTAGTGTGTTTCGTGCCTGCACCGCGTCTTTTTGTCCGGTCGGGTCTTGGAAGACCAGAAGCTGTGTGGTTCATAAAAGAAATGTCTTACTCAATATCAAGCCACGATTATTGTTTTTATTTTAAATTGTATAATGTCGGAGTTGTTTTGCCATCCGTGAGGAAAATAAATGGGGCTCAGAGCCTCAGAATACTGAAATCTGTATTTTGAAATCTTTTTTTCCTTCTAATTTGTTATTATTTGGTGCAGGCACGAAACATATACATTGCTTCTAAAATCGTTCTGTGTCAGAATACTGAAATCTGTATTTTTTTTAATCTTTTTTTTCTTCTAGGTTGTTATTATTTACATTGCTTTTAAAATCGTTCTGTGTGACACGAAAAAAAGGGGAAAATCGTGTTGGTGAACACAAATCAATAGATTCATTTCGTGACTATAACACAAAATTCCGTGAGACTGGGTTGGGCCATGTGGAGTCTCCCAAGAGCAGGCAAAGCATAAAGTGAATATCTTAACCTGTTAAGCACCAAGCCTGTTTTTCATGTTTCAGGCTCGAAAATGACATGCCCAAAACAAATGACTACAACTTAACTTCTAAAAGGGTTATATGAATAATTTCTTTTATCAAAGCAAGGTTACATCTGTGAGTTGGATTTAGAAGTGTCAGAATCAATATAGATGTTTTTTATTTGAAAGAAAATTCAGATTTTACATAGTAAAACACTGTAAATTATAGTGTCCGTCCAAAAATTATGTTTTACAGATAGTGAAAACTACCCTTGGATGATGGGTTAGTAGACTAAAAGCTTTAGGAATCCAAAGTACAACATATAATAAGTACCCTGTATCAAGATTGATGCAAAACAAGTGACATTTGACCTTTTTAGAGAGGTTTAGCCAAAACCACTCCACCTCTGAGGTGATTTGGGTGAAAATGTTTTTTTTTCCATATCTCTGGCCCCCCTTGGTCGATTTGGATGGTTGACACCTCACCGTTAGAGCCAATAGAATCGAAGGGGGAGTCCCCCACACACACACGTTGTGAAGAGAAGAGGTGAGGGCTTCGCGCATGTAATTTTGCATCAGAGTGGACCGATCTCTCGCTCTGACATTTGGAAACGAAAAAGCAGTTTTATTGCTTATGGATTATCAGAAATCATTTCAAAGAGGACACAGACACATTTGATTAACCTATGGATTAACTGCAGCATCGTTTTCTTATCGTTGTAATGCCATTGAAGACCAGTTTTGACCAAGGTAAGCCATGTTAGCGTTTTTAGCTACCTAGCTCCACATGTTCTGATGTACGCTTTCGTTTATAGCGTCGCAAATGTTTATCACTGAGTGTTGAGGTTTTTTACACAGATTCTGTGTCTCCAGGAGATGCTAATCGATGGGTTGGCTGTGCATCTAGGATAAGTAATAAGGGAGTTATGAGTGAGTTTAGCTGCAGTGATAGGTTACATTTTTCACTTTACATTGGGGTTGTTTGCGTGGTGCAGACACGTAAATGTAGCAGAGTGTGTGACTCCACCACGCACTGCGGTGTTAAGGAGTCACGCATTCTGGTGAGACCAGGTTGAGCATACTCAGCCCGGTTGTTGGCCCGGAAAGAACCTCGATTTTGTCGAGCCAGAAAAACTGTGAAAAAGCCGGAACTACCCCTAGTGGAAACGCAACAAAAAACGGGCCGGGCACGACACGGCACGCTTAAACCGCGCTGTAGTGGAAATGCGCCAATAGTTTCACCTGCAAGGTGAATACAGAACAGCTGGTACAAAAAATATAAAAACGACAGTGTTTCAATGCGTACATTAACAGTTTTATGATCTCACTGACACGAGGGGATCTGACTTTAATTACATTTGACTTAAGTGTTTCGTCAACTTAATGCTTAAAATAACACTTCGGCATACAGTATGTGACAATGTAGGTGTTGCACGACCAGATACGGCTCGAGAAGCTGACTCAGATAAATGAGGCGAGTAAACACAGCTGACAGCCGCCGTGAAACTCGAGTGATTATTCGAGCCACAGGAAATGCACGCAAATACAATCTTTTATATTATTATTATTAGGCCTATTAAAAATATATATATAAATAAAGACATCTTGTATTTTAGTTACACCCGCTATTGATTCATTTTGTCAACATTGGACCTTGACACCATCCACATAGCTATAGTGAAATAATATAATAGAAAACATTAAGCCTCTTTGGTTTAATAATCGGAGCTGATCTGAAGCTCTCTGCCATCTCATATAACACTAACTTCCTTATTTATCTTTGAATAATAATAACGTAAAAATAAAGACGACTATACTACGGTCCTTCGGTCCTGAGATTAGCTCCATGGACCTGTCAGCTCCGGACAGCGCAAATTGCGTATATGAAGTGCTACGTCATGAATGCAAGAAATTATACCCTCGTGGGGGCGCGCTCATGTGATTGGCCACAGTATTGAGTATGTAATTCGCTTTGGATAAAAGCGGCTAACAAGTAACATGTAATGTAATGGAGGAGACATCTGATTGGCTATAGATAGAACAAATTACAAGTACGAATCGGGTCACCGTCAGGGGAGTCTCAAAAAACCCACACACGAATGCACAGCGTCGAGCGATCCATGCACAGAAAGTGGGTTGTGTTTGCAGGTGCAGCGGTTTTAAACGGAAAACAAATTAGTGGATCAAAAATACATATGTAAAACTGTTTTCTATGTAAAACTTTTATTTACATGAACACAACCCTCTGAACAACACAACCCTCTGATGCGTTTGTGGGTAGCTTGGCACGCGACTTCCCTGGAACCGTTGCTGCTTCCAGTGTGTCCTCCTGAAGTCTTTGATCACTACCCAGTCACCGGGCTTGAAGTGGTGTTGTGGCGCATCAGCTGGCGTCTGCAGTACGGCTTTCACCTGAGAGTGGATAGCTGAAAGGGAGACTGAAAGACTTATACAGTAGTTCAACAAAAGGTAACTTAAATTGTCTCAACTTTCAGAAACTAACATTACATTAACAGAATAATATTATTTAAATCTGTGCCAATTCGTCATGTGCCTTGTGCCATCAAGAGAGCCAGCTTTTCACGCTGACAAATATTTGTAGCTGCTTTCACAATGATGACATGCTATTCTCTTTTTATTAACCAGTATAATAGAACTTTACAGGATCAGAATATTTTGAATATTAATAATCTTTATGGCTTTGTAAGATTATATGTCTCTATTTAACACAATGGACATCATTATCACACTTGTTTCAGTCTTAAATCTGTATTGTCAATGTGCTTTGGCAATAGTATATGTTTTAATATGCTCATATCAATAAAGTTAGTATTTCCTGATATTCTTCTTTTTCTTTTTGATATAAAATGATGTGTGACTTCCTCAAATGATGTGTGATTTCCTCAAAAAGATAAAGCATTTAAAAATTCAAACCAGCAACCACACTTTCCTCGGTCACATACTTCAGGATACTTGCTGCAGAGCTGGCCTTCTAGGAAAGAGTTGGCATTCCCATGAGCAATGGAGGAAATCTATGCCAATATTGACGTTGTCCGAACCCTAAGCTCAAAATCATCAACAATACAAGAAGGTAAGAGTGTCAGTCAGAGTGCACTGTGGATTCTGGATTTACTGTATTACTCCCTGGTTTTCTCTGTGTTCAGGTCCCAGGAGATTTTTCAGAGCGTCTGTTCTCGGTCTGGGGCTGCTGAGTGTTTTCCTGCTGGCTGGACTCATCGTCCTCGCTGTCCACTGTGAGTCTTTCTTTTAATACGTTTAATCATTTATCAAGTAACTGAACGTATAGTAGAATGTGTGGAGTCATTAAAACCCTTGAAAAGACGCAGAGGGAGGGAAGTTATCTTTTATCACATGCCTCAATACAAGCAGTTGTTTGCAACTACAGGCCTCCTCCTATTTATATCATTCTTTATTTTCTCTTTGGGCAAAATCAGGAAATATTTAGTTTTCTCTCTTGATTTCAGACCACGACGTGACTGAAGAGAGAGACCGACTGAAGGCCAGCCTCACCGAAAAGACCAGTGAGGTGCTCAGGCTTCAGTGTTTGATGGACAAGAGTGAGTGGTATCATGTGGGGGGTTTTGCATAGTGTTTTGCATAGTGTGTGTCTGACTATTGATGCTTTCATCAAATAGTTACACAATGACACTTTTCATTAATGATAATCAGGAATTTGTTTTTAATGACTTAGTTGTGAGGGATTTAATTTATAGTTTGTTTTATTTTTCTTCACCCACCATCATGCCCAACCCTGTCTCCTAAAAATTACGTTCCCACAGAACTAAACTGCATTCTCAATTACGTTTAGTTAGAAACTTATTTTCTCCCACGTTACGTTTGTTATGAACGTATCTTAAATACGGTTATTTTCTACATATCTTTGCCATTTATTGTCTTGCTTATAATAATGATAATAGTCATTTTAGAGCACACATTTGAAATCGACGATCGGGCTCGATATATGGTTAAATTAAAATCAGTAGACGAGGCTGTAATTTCGCCAGCTGTTACTCTCATGAGCGAGGCAGAAAATAATAGTTTTATCATGCCAAAAAGCTGCTGTGTCGTTTATTGCACCTCAAACATTAAAACAAATCCAGAGTTACGTGTTTCTGTACTTCCTCTAAGAAGAAAGGACAGTAACAGAAGAGCTCTGTGGCTTCAGGCTTGATCGCCGTCAAATTACAGTGTTGGTTTCCCCAAAAGTGGGTGGGGCTGTAAAGTGACGTAGATTTTACTCTCATCTATTATTCAAAACCATTCTATTTATTCCAACGTAAATTACATGCCAGTGTTTTATCTTTTTATTTAGCGATTTGTTTTTGCACTGGGAATGTTTTCAAAGTCTTCACTTTGTCTTCTTCGTCCCTTTTACGTTCCAGACAATGCATGGCTCAGCGTAACAGACAGAACAGCGACCCCAGGTGTGTCTACATTGGAATTACATCTTCATTACTGAAGGAAAAATACTTTACCTAGTGTTTGTTAACTGGGTTGTTAATGCAGTTGGCTTTTCTTAATGGTTACAATATTGCTATGAGTTACAGTATATCTGAAGCAAATTATGTTTCTGAAGATGTGTAGTCAATTCCACCCTTCAATGTAGCATAAATGTGAACTCTCATTACAGGAACAATACCGGAAACAGATGTAGGAAAGATCATTAGCTCGCTGATTGGATGTTTTAGCCGCAATGCACGTTGGGAGATGGTGTTTATGCGATGTGAAATCCGAAAACATTTAAAAATAATTTAATAATACTTTATTCCGAGTGTTCTTGCTTTTGTCTTTGTAATACACGGTTCGGCTGCATTAAATATTACACATCTGCCGTAGTTCTTTATTTATAGAGCCCTGATGAGAAGACTTCTGCACAAACTTGAAGAACTGCCGCCGAAACTGAATATGTGACGTGGATCATAAATATATCAACAATTACACAATATCTTACATTTATTTTCACAAAATACATCTCCTTGCAGTATCAATAGTAATTCGGCTGACTTTTATATTTGATCCAATTGGTAGATAGGTTATATTTACACCATAACGGTGCACAGCTGATAGAAAAGGACTTGTAGTTTTTAAAGATATTACTGATTTTCTTTGAATATAAGAATGTAAATACTGAGTTGAGAGAATAGTCAGGGGATTTGGGTGATGGGAGACACATCTATGGAATCACAATTTCAATAGCTTACCATTAAATGACGGATATACCTTTCTGTCTGTGATGTTTTACAAATCAGATATTAATGTGTAGAAGTAAAACATGAGAAATAGTATAGCAATATCCTGTAAAATTATGTAAAAACATGAATAAAACTACACATCTTCAGATGTTATACATACATAAGTGTCCTACACTAATAATACAAAGTTATTATTAGTATGCTGTGTGTACCTTGTGAGCACCGCCTAGTGGTTAAAGCACGTTATTGAATTATATTTGTTGAATAATGTCATTTTTGTTGAATAATGTTATTTGATGAAAAAAATATTAAGACTACATACTTTCCAGCGACGTGCAGTCAGGGGAGGCAGGGGAGGCAGAGCCTCACCTGTCATACTCCAATGTAACGGAAAAACAACTAAAGAAAAACTAAATAGTAATAATAATAAAATGTCTCCACTGATCTGTGTTGTAAGTGTGATTTATGTATGATTCCAATCGCTTTTTATAGTCAAAATCAGCAAATTTGCCGAGATCCGCTACGGGAGAGATGAGAAGTGAGGTAGGGACGAGCTCTGCCTCTCGTAAGCCCACAGTAACTTGCTGGAGCACGGGCACTAATTTAGCGCGGCCACTTATTTTGTGAGCGCGCTCAAGCCAGTTACCGTGGGGTAAGGTGAGGCACAGATGAGCTCTGCCTCACTTCAGAATGCGTCACCCCACAGAAACTGGCTGGAAAGCGGGCACTTTCCGATTAGAATTCCGTTAGAATTATTGATCATTAAAGTGTTTAAAAATGAGTTAGAATGACTTGCATGCCTGTTACCATCTCACTGTCGGTCACCAATGTAATGGTTGTAGATCCCTTTATTACATTTATCCTCGCCATCCATAGTCTCTAAATAACTTATTTCACATATATATGATATTTAGGCTCGCTGGTCTCATCATACAACGGCAATGAAAAAAGCACCAGGAGAGGCAGCCATAACCTCTGCCGCACTGAAGGGGGCGCACGTGAGCCCACAGGTTCTTGTTGCTACTGTTATTCTACGCAGAGACGGTAGACGCAAACAACAAACTAGACTTTTGAAACTAAAGGAAGATAAGGAGGACTTTTACAAAACAGTAATAGAGATTGTTGTCCAGAAGGATAGCATGGACTTCATCTTCAAGTCAAGGTAAGACCACAACTGTAATGAAAATGGGATCTTACTAAGAAAGAACAATCCAATATTTAGATTTGGGGTATTTTTGTTAAACGGTCTGTTTAAAATGAATCGAAGCATCAGACTAAAAAAGCTTTTGAAAATAACAGAATATTTCGATTAAGGTCAAAATATAATATTTGTAAATCTGACTCTGAAAGAGTCAGTGCCTCACCAGCCATGAACCTCACCGCACGTCACTGATACTTTCATAGGGTGAAAGTAGAAGGTCAATGATAGAAATATAGAATATAAAAAATCAAGAAGATACTGTAAGTGATCTCTACAATAAAACAGTTTAGTGCCGGATGTATAAAGATATTAATATGAGGATGTGCAAAACAGACAAACTAATTAACCTTTATTAACACGTTAAAGAATACTTTAGGTTAAGGTCTTCTTTTAAATAAGAAATAAGCTTTGGGGGTATTTACAGATAAATATTAAGCCTGACAAAGTACTAATATATTGCTTTCCTGCAATGTTAACTATGTTGAAGCACTTATTTTAACTGATATTATACACATTAATTATACTCTTATGTATGTAGATAGTATAAGAAATGTGCAGAATTTGACAGTTTAATGGTGGAGGTATACACACATATTGATAGATGTCTTGTAATGCACTGTTGAGGAACCTGTGACCCAAGTTTTTCATTCATTGCATAACTACACCATAGTTGTATATATGATATGTCAATAAACCTTAGAAAATCTTGAAATTATATACAGTTTCTAATTAACTATTAGTAGAGAATAACGAGTAATGAATATACTTTATAGAGATCTGCAGATAAATGTTTAGTCTTCTCAAGCACCAACTATCAAATATCTCTCCTGATTGTTGGCCCTTGACAATCACCTTTCCCTGAATTTTACTCAGGTGTAACTAAAGTCTGATTTAAGGGTTGTTTATATTTCACATCATTAATTGATAACTAAAACTAGAGAATGCAATTCCTGAAGAAATTGCTAGTGGGAATGCTTTATGCTGAAAAGCTGACGCTAAACTGCTATGCTGAAATGTAATGTGTAAGAAGAAAGTGAAGAATTTAGATTGAAATGTGTGATGAGTGAAGAAAAGAAAGTAAAAAGGCTTGGAAAAGCAGCAGAATACTTGAACTGCAAACTTTTGAACTAACTTGATGGTGAATGATCTGTCGCCATGGCAACGGCATGTGATGACACCCCATAATACGCTTAGATGCGTTGATGGCTGCATCGTTACCAAACCTGTGTGTGTGTGTGTGTGTGTGTGTGTGTGTGTGTGTGTGTGTGTGTGTGTGTGTGTGTGTGTGTGTGTGTGTGTGTGTGTGTGTGTGTGTGTGTGTGTGTTGAGTATGAAATGAACAGTTAGAACTGACTGCTGTCAGTTGGAGTGATGACATCATCGTGTTCCATTACACAGGTGTTTATAGTTGAGCTAACGAGCTCTGTAGAGATCAAAGGTTTGCATTGTTCTGAATGAGAGATAAAGCTCTGACATGTGAATGTTTTGTGGAAGAACCATAACAGATATCTGTGACATTTCAAAACGTGAAGCATGTCAAGGAAGTTGAGTATCTGAAGTGCAATTTTTGTGTACTTTCGGGTTAATAATGTGGCCTTTTTGGCAGTTTAACTAAAGGTGTGCGGCTGCTGCTGTGAGGAAATATCAGCCTGAAATTACAACGGGTTTTAATGGAGACATGTTGAAAGTGTTTGTCACTTCATGCCCTCAAGAGGCATTTTGTTTAATTATTTTTTGCTTAATTATTTGTCATTTTTCAAGCTACGAGATGTTTTCCTACGTTTGTCATGAAAAACTATGTCTCAGGAATGTAGGGTTTGGGAATTATGGCAGTTTTAAAAAAAAATATGAAGGCAAATTTCAAGATTTCCTACCCTCTAGCTGTGACATCACGCACTCTAGTTAATGTTAAAATCTGAAGAAAGCCTCTTTACCAAGGTCTGAACAATGTTTAATATCTCTAAAAGTAAGAATCAGATTTAAAAGTTGTGTTACACGAATAATGTCAGAAAGATGTGTAACATTTTAAAGTTGGAATGAGGTTTCTGAGTGAAAGTATGAATGAACAGTTAGCAGTTGAAGTCGCATGAAGATTGTTCAAGTCTGAAGATTTTCTCCATTGACTTCAATGGTTAAAAAGGTGATGAATTATGGGATGTATCTCTGGAATTATGAAAGTTATGAATAATCCAAATGATAGCCATCGATTCCCGACCGAGCTGAACGGAGTTTCTGCGATGTTGAATGCAGGAGGAGAAGAGGTGCAAAATTCCGGCGGAATAATAATAATTTTGTCCGTAGAATAACATATAGTTGGAATGCTGTATCAGCATTCCCACTAAATAAATGTAGTGGAGTAAAAATACCAGGTTAACCTTAAAGTGGACCGATCATGCTATATCTGAATAATATAGTGTAGGACCATACCTATATAAGGCATATTTATATATTTTTTTTTGCAAAATACCAAACAGATCATGCATTTTAGCCATGCCTCATTTTGCTCAATTTGACATTTTTTAGCTCTGTGTTTGTAAGGGCAGATAAGGGCAGAACAGCACCATCTACAGGCCTGGCATATGTACTACAGCGTCTCCAGCGCTTTCGAACGGCAATGGCCGTGGCTGTCTCCTCCTGATTGGTGGAGTTGGCCCAATAGCCGTAGTGTCACCGTCCTGACGTCAGGACAGTGTTCAAATCTGGATCAGTTTGTATCAGATCCGTTGCAGCCCCTTTTTTAGAGATTTGGGTATGGAGGAAAATAGAGAGGGTTGTGTTTTCTGACACTTGGTGAGTTCCCTGGAACACCGGGGACACATATTCATGTATAAAAGATGTACAAAAGTGCATTTTGCATGATAGGTCCCCTTTAAATTAAAACCCAAGTTTCTAATAATAACTTGTACAACACAGAATGGGAATCCTCTTCCAATGCAATATGCAAATATAAAATGAACGTATTACTTTATGTTTAAACCAGTTTTTTCTTAACAAAGTAAAAGAGCCCAATGATTAAATGAGTAGTCCGATTTTTTTCAATAATTCCACAATTGAAACCTGAGTTGCCGTATGGGTTGACAGACATTTTGACTTCCCTTTTACCAGGACCTATACCAACTCCACCTCCACCAAATCCTCCAGTGAGGCTGGTCGGATCCACCAACTCCTGCTCCGGCAGAGTGGAGATCTTTCACAACGGCGCGTGGGGAACAGTGTGTGACGACAATTGGGATCTGAACGATGCTCATGTGGTTTGTGGACAGCTGGATTGTGGCCGAGCTGTAGAAGCAAAACAAGGGTCACATTTTGGACAGGGAACTGGATCCATTTTGTTAGACGATCTTCAGTGTTCAGGGAACGAGATATCACTTTAGGACTGTGTTCATTTGGGAATAGGATCCCACAACTGTGCTCACAGTGAAGATGCTGGTGTCATTTGTGAAGGTAAATGTGCATGCATGTCTTTTCTACATAAACATGTGTCCCCTATGTGTAAAGAGATTGTGAAATATTCATTAAAATAGGTTCTCTCTCTTCTTGTCCTGATCCATTTATATAAGAACCTGTCTGAAAATTAGCTGATCAGATTTGGGCCACTTTATGATGTTATAAAGATGTTTTGGCTTGTGTAACCATTACCCCCCCCCCCCCCCCCCCACACACACACACACACACACCTTATCACTCCTCCTAGAGCACCATTGTGTAACAGACAGAGAATCAGCACTTTTGAAACAGGGCTGAAACAGAGGGGATTATGGGATGCTACAATGATCTGTTTGGTGTTTGGAGCCAAACACTTCAGAGACATGTTTTGTATATATCTGACACCTATAATATATTGATGAAAAACAGTATAATAGGGGACCTTTATATATATATATATATATATATATATATATACTGTATATGTGTCTAATCATTATATCCCTCTTATATCACAGCACTGTAGAAGAAGGACATATCGCTCCGTTGAAAACCAAGATCAGCTCCATCCCGTCACCATTGGACCAATCACGTTTGAGTAAAATATAGTTTGGTAACGTGGAAGATATAAACTGAAGTTACATTTCCTTTTTCCTTTTCATTTTGGACCTTAGGGGATAATTATAAAATGTTAATTGAGTGAGCCGATAGCCACGATTTGATTATGTATTAATCACCGATGTATGATTTAAATCTTATTTAATCGAACGTAGAAGTAGTATTACTAATTATATAATCAATAGATGTAACCCCTGATTTTGATTTATTCATTTGTTCATAGAGGATAATCTTTGTACCATGACTAGCCGTCTGTCTTTCTGCTCGTAATGTGTTTCCTGCCAAATCATTTTAAGACTTTTGCAGTTTTACAACAATATAATCTTTTTACTTCGATCACCAGTGTGTATGTGATATAATAAATGTATTCTAATGACCTGAGTGTTAAGGTAACTCATCTACGACACACCCTCTGATGTCCTACCTGTCACTGCATTGTGTAGGCTATGATTAAAGATGGTTCTGTGTGAGCTAATCAACAACAAGATTGTCATGTCTTACCTGTATTGGTTTCTTTCTGTTATAGAATTTCTCAACATATTTTATCTCGATGTCGGTCATTTCATTTCACCAAAACTAGAAGTCTGGTTGTTCAGTCAATAAGTAGTCCACATAATATATAAGATAAGATAAGTTAAGATTTAACTTTATTTATCCCTGTGTGGAAATGCAGGTGTTTTAGCAGAAACAGGGTCAGAGTGAAAAAAACAGGATTCACACAAGGTAAAAAATAAAAATAAAATAGAATACAAATACAAATAATTTAAAGAAAATAACAAATAAAGTCATAAAGTCATATGGTAACTTTTGATTTGAGTGGACATATATACATATTTGTATTGTTAAATATAACATAAAGTGTTCGGATGTGAGTGCAGGTTTAAAGTCTTGTAAAAACACTGCGGGTAAAAACATAATTCATACTCCTGTGTGAAAGAAAAACTTAAATTATCTCTGAGTTTGTCCTCATTAAATTAAGAACTTAAGAGTGAATAAATTAGTTAATAAAAAAAAATAATCCTGCACACCGCTGTTGGAAAACACTTCTTCACCCTTTATGCAGAGAGAAGCCTGCCCAGAGCTGTACGTAAATCACTTTTGTACGTTAATAAATATTAAAACTATTCATCTATAAACTCATCATGGATATACCGTATATTACTTATACTAAAGCATAAACATTTTTCCAATTTGGGATCAATAAAGTACATCTTATCTTATCTAAAAGGAAGGAACTGAGAAGGCCTGCCCCCTTGTGGACTGACAGGTGTGTTGCATGCGTTGATATGACACTGCTGGGTTTGATGTTTGATGCCCATATTGCTCCCTCGTAGAATATATACCTGAGGAGGTTTTTGTGAACACAGTTAAAGGTGGGGTAGGTAATTTTGGAGAAACCAGCTAGAGATCGCTAGAATTTGAAAATACACAGCCGGAAAAAATCTGCCACTTCCTTACAGAGCCCCTCCTCCAACACACACGAACGCGCACATGACCAATGAGGGCACGAGATAAGTTTGTGCACAGATGGAAGGCTGACGGGCAGGTAGGCCATCCAGTTATTTTAGCCGGGCCGGCTAAAATGATTGGTCGTGCTTTTTACAGTACTACGGCTTCCACAGATGATATTTTTTTATGGATATTTTGTCAAAGCACTTAAGATATTCATTGCTATCGGGATGTTAAGAGCATTCCATGGAATATAACAAAAAGTGTATCTCGAGCCGGTTTCTCAAACTTACCTACCCCACCTTTAAGTTTCCATCCAGAGGACTGTGTGTATTCTTCGATTAATACATTCTAAATGAATTTCCATTTTCCCCAAAACATATATTTTATTAAGAAAACAGGTCATTTTTGACACAGCTGATCCTGTACACATTTAACTGTCAACCACATACGACGATAAATGAGGAAATTAATTTGACTTACTTCTCTTGAGTCTGAATCTGTGCCCCTCTACCTTAACATGACCCTATCCTTATCCCTATCCCCAACCAGCTATCTTTGTGAGGCCTAAACTATCCTCAACCTTAATCCCATCATGGAGATTAGTGATACAAGGGACACTACTGAAAAGGGGGAGTGCCCAAATAGCAAATCTATAGCGTGAAATTACTGGCAGGACTGCTTTTGTTTTGTGAGGTATAAAAAATGCTGCAACTCATAAACATTTCATTAAACATATTAAAGCCTGTTTAATTTATTTAATAACCTATTTACCTATCTTCCCAGGCTACCAATTTCGTGTATAAAACTCTGCATGATTAAAGTTGATAAGTATTGGAATATTTCTAACTTTACAGAATCATAATGGTTCCATAAAAGGCTCTACATTTACATAAAGAAGAGGACAAGGTGCAGCACACAACAGGAGACACACATGGATAATAGCAGGTGAATAAAGTGGAGTATTAAGCAGCCAAAGAGAAAAATATTTACCTCAGGAGTTGGTAGAGAAAAAGTAGACTACAGAAGCCGATAACAGCAGTGTTTGCTGTTTTTCGTAATGACGTTATCTTGAGATCACACGTTATTATAAGAGAGAACATTTGCTTTAATATCTGATTCTATTCTCCTTTAACATGACTGTATTGATGCTGTAGCCTATTCTATTTGGATTGTATCCACTCAAACTTTCTCACAGCACTGTATATGGTACACTGTATATGGTACATATTCAGGGCTTTGTGGAAGACAATCCTTTTCACACACTTCTTTCATTTCTTACTCCAGGCCTTCATGCTTCATTCAATACATATAAGATTCAGTTCAGTGGGAAAATGTCATTAAGAAAGACCCAATTTTCTGCCAATCACAAACGATCCAGAATCCAATGCTGCCTTCAATGAATGTAGGACATATTGGATTTATAAATTGGGTACACATAGGAGCCATCAAAATGTGAAGTAATTATCCATAAAAAGGAGCAAATGTGCTTTGCTTATACACAGAGTAGCCTACCATGGACTGACCAGTTTAGAACAGCTGATTCATTTAACCTTTTTGCTTATGTGTATAATGAGGCTGTTGGACATTGTTGGGTGAAGCTCTATGTGGCTTATTTTAAGCTATATTAAGATCATATTGTAGGATAATCGACAAACTTACACGTCGATGCTTGTTACCACAGCATCACTGTAATTGCAATTGTTTTAATAAGGTGTGTCAATACGACATTCAAGGATTCAAGGATTCAAGGCTTTTGTTGTCATTTGTACATTGTTTACACTTTAGTTATGACTTATGAATTAAAATCTTAGGTCACAACAGTGCAATACAATACAACGGATAAAATAGTGCAATTAAATAAAATAAAATAGAATATAATAGAAATAGTGCAGAATAGTCTATATACAAGTAAAGAATAGTCTATAGTTGGTTTGTTTTACACAAGCGTCGTGACTCCTGGAGCCACGCAGCAATTTCAACAAAAAAGTAAATACAAATAGACGTCAAATGAAGTTTACATGTGCAGCAGTGGGGATTTCCGAGCTGCACTTGAAGGAGGCATGATGCTGAGCGCGTAATGGGTTTCCCAGCGCTGCTGCTGCTGCTGCTGATCGGGGAGCAGGAGCTGCAGTCCGGCATCATTAGACCACTTGATGCCGGTGACCTTGGATAACGGGGATCCCGCCTTCCTCTCCGGTATATTTCTTTTCTTTTTCCAACCATGGCATCCTCGGACGGGCTGGATGAGGAGCGCGTGCTGCAGCGGGGCAGATCTCAAAGTGACCCGAGCACCGAGGTCCGCCTGGGAGAAGCGTACAGAGCAGGTGAGAGGTGTGAGAAAAAAGGAGGAGGGGTTGGATGAACGGATGCTGCTGGACATCTGTCATCTGCTGATTATTAGTTTGCGCTTTTGTGCAGGTGGCTGGTTACGAAACACATCCTGTTGTCGGTGATCCCTTTCAATTTGTATGCAACAAACGTAGGCAGTGGTGTAAACGTCCGTCATTTACTATGCTTAGACTAGACTACTGACTGCTGTGCTGAGTGGAAGGCCTTGTATGTGAAATGGCTGTAATACAAATGTCAATATAGCAGGGAAAATTGTGCATGCAACCTAGATTAGAAGATGGTGTCCAACTGGTGTCATACCAGTTAAATCCATATCCATTCTATCTCTATTAGGATGCATTGATTTTCTGATTTTGGTCTTTTGCAGACCTCTTTTCTTACAGGCAGTGATATATAATCATCTTTGCATATAATCAAGCTGGGATTCACAACCTTAAATTCATATGGTTGCTTTCCTGCAATTTCTTCCTTTAGTGCAATAAAAATCAGCACGCCCAAACTAAAGGATCTATTTTCTGCATGGGATGAACCAGTTGCCCTCACACATGGACTGCAGTGTGTGGAGCTGATGAGAGTGGCTGGTTGTGTATTTGGTTGTTTCCATGGTGATCCAAATGGCAGAAGGCAGCACTTGGCTCTCCCACCGTGAGCTGACATGCTGTTTGTCTGCTCCACTTACTGATCCCTCTCAATACACTCGGTGATGTACAGCGGCCAGCTATTGAAAGTGAAATGCCACTAAGGCGGTGAATCGTGTTTTATATACGTGTGAGAGAAGGGGATGCACATTTCCAGTGGGAGTCCAAGGGCAGGCTTTAGACCACTTTAGACGAACTGTTTGAAATGTATTGAAGTGTGGATCGATGTGAAGGCTTAAATAACTCATTTTAACTGTCAGGCCCTTGACGTTTGCCAGCAGTTATCGTCATACTGTACTGGTTAGAAAAAAGTGATGTTTTACCTGAATCACAGTCTGACGTGAGTTGCATTTGCAGTAAATCTTCGAGACAGGAGTCCTGGCTTCATATGCTGCAGCATTACATTAGCACCCATATTGAGCTCCTGTGTTACTGTGCAATGCTACGGTCTGTTTGAACATCAGAGCATTTGACAGGGTCGGCTATCTTTAGACACGAGGGCCACAGAGAGACTGCAGGAAAAAGGATCTTCAAGTTCTCTTGCCAACGGCGGATATTGTTGTGTTCATGCTCTCACTTTTCCAATCCATTGCTTGTCACGTTGTCGTGGTTGTTATGGTTGCGTAACAGTGTTGGTGTACGTGTAGCCCTGACACAACACTTGCAGGATTGTCCCGTTATATATAAAATACCGTCTTAAAACGTACATTTACAGAGATCTCCCCCCGGGTTAGACGCCATAGAGGATTTCACCTAAAGCTGACGTTTCCTGTGCAATATTTTAGGCAAGAAGGGCTCAATGCAGCAGTGAAAACCCGCCTGTCCTCCCCTCCCACACCCCTCCATTTCTGCTCAGCTCTAACCCTTTCATAGCCCAGGCACCTATACTGCAGCTTTGATCCTGTACTTGAAGAACCATCTCCAGTAAAGGGGAGGACAGGGGGGAGTGACAGGTCCCCGAATGTGCATTATCACGGCACCCAGCTGGGTAATGCCACAGTAGATCAGCCGTACTAAAGACCACACT